ACACACACACGCGCACACACACACACACACACACACATATATACACACACGCACACACACACGCACACACACACACACACACGAACACACCATCTCTCTTCACGTATACAAACACACGTACATATTCGACTTCAGCGTCCACCTTTTAGCATTGAGCATCTCACCGACTGTGATGGTCGCATGGCGTGACACACTGCCGTTCCTGTGGTCCGTCACTGTGAAGTTGAAGGCGTCGGCGCCGCTGTAACCGAGGGTAGGGGCGTAAGTGAACGACCCGTCCGGCTGGAGGGTGAGGGTGCCGTGTGCGGGGCCGCTGCCCGCCACCACTGAAGCCACCAGGGGCAGGTCGCCGTCGGGGTCGCTGGCCGTGGACAACAGGCCGGCCGAAGCGTCCACGCTCAGGGTGACGCTTTGCTTGGCGGTGAAGGACAAGTCACTTGCGACTGGCGGCAGGTTGACAACTGCGGTTGTTGTTGCAAGGTGAGCAGAGTTTCCAGGCGGGAAAATGGTTGAAGGCAGGCAGTTTGGTGAATTGAAGTTGATTGCATGAGGCTCCGGGTCTGAGCAGTGAGTGCTGGTGCAAGCAGCCAAATGCCATGCTGTGCTGAAGCTCTGGGGCCACTCAGGCTGACATGGCATGCACGTTCTTCTTCCACCAGCGCGACAGCAATGGTTTTCACGCTGACAAAGTGGCGTGCAGCGTGGGAAGACAGCAATGAGCAAGTACACCTGCTACCAACATGCGCGTGCCCACCCGCAGGCTGCCACACGCTCGCATGCAAGGCCGTTTGACAGAGGGCGGGGCTGCTGGCGAGCCCCGCAAACTTGCAGGTGGCACCTGCCCCCACTCTTTTAGCGTCTACCCAGCTGAGTGTTGAATATGATAAGGCGACTCACCAACCGTAATGGTCGCCTGGCGTGACACACTGCCGTTCCTGTGGTCTGTCACTGTGAAGTTGAAGGCGTCGGCGCCGCTGTAACCGGGGGTAGGGGCGTACATGAACGACCCGTCCGCCTGGAGGTTGAGGGTGCCGTGTGCAGGGCCGCTGCGCGCCACCACTGAAGCCACCAGGGGCAGGTCGCCGTCGGGGTCGCTGGCCGTGGACAACAGGCCGACCGAAGCGTTCACGCTCAGGGCGACGCTTTGTTTGGCAGTGTACGACAAATCAGTGGCGACAGGGGGCAGGTTGGCAACTGCGGGTTGTTTTTGTAAGGTGAGCGCAGTTAGCAGGTGGGCAGGTGGCTGAAAGTTAGCACAGTGGTGGGTTGATGTTGATTGTGCAGGGCACTGTAGTTTGAGCCGTGAGTGCTGGTGCAAGCAGCCCTCTGACGTGCTGTGCTGAAGCTCTGGGGCCACTGAGGCCGACACGGTTGCATGCACCTTCTTCTTCCACCAGCGCGACAGCAATGGGTTTCCCGCTGACAAAATGGCGTGCGGTGTGGGAAGACAGCAATGAGCAAGTAAGCCTGCTACCAACACGCACGTGCCCACCTGCAGGCTGCCACACGCCCGCATGCTTGGCTGTTTGACAGTGGGCGGGGCTGCTGGCAAGCCTCCCAAACTGGCAGGTCGGTGGCGCCTGCCCCCACTTTTGCAGCGTCCACCCAGCTGAGTGGTGATTAGGACCAGGCAACTCACCAATTGTGATGTTCGCCTGGTGTGACACAGTCCCGTTCCTGTGGTCCGTGACTGTGAAGTTGAAGGCGTCGGCGCCGCTGTAACCGGGGCTGGGTGTGTAAGTGAACGACCCGTCCGGCTGGAGGGTGAGGGTGCCGTGTGCGGGGCCGCTGCCCCCCACCACTGAAGCCACCAGGGGCAAGTCGCTGTCGGGGTCGCTGGCCGTTGATAGCACGCCGGCCGAAGCGTTCACGCTCAGGTTGGTGCTTTGCTTGGCGGTGTATGACAAATCCGTGGCGACAGGGGGCAGGTTGGCATCTGCGGGATGTTTGAGCAAAGTGAGAAAAGTTGGCCCAAAGAGCGGATAGTATAGGAAATGAAGGCAGAGTGGTGCATGGAAGTTGATTGTACTAGGCGCTGGGTTTCAGCAGTGAGTGCTGCGCATGGTGACGCACTGAAAAGGTGCGGCCTCTGATGCCGGCGTTGTATACACATGTAGCTGTCATTGGTGTGACAGCAATGGTTTTCTTGCTGTCAAGGCGGCATGCTTTGTGAGGAGACAGCAAGCAAGGAGCAAGTCGGCCTGCTGCTAATTGTGCACGTGCCCACCTGCAGGCTCCTGCCTGCAATGGCTTTCGCAAGGCTAATGACAAGCCCAGCTCACTGGCAGGTGGCACCTGCTGTTCCCTTTCGGGGTGCATTCATACGATTATTGAATAGCATCAGGTGACTCACCGACTGTGATAGTCGCCTGGCGTGACACAGTCCCGTTCCTGTGGTCCGTCACTGTGAAGTTGAAGGCGTCGGCGCCGCTGTAACCGGGGGTGGGGGCGTACGTGAACGACCCGTCCGGCTGTAGGTTGAGGGTGCCGTGTGCGGGGCCGCTGCCCGCCACCACTGAAGCCACCAGGGGCAAGTCGCCGTCGGGGTCGCTGGCCGTGGACAGCAGGCCGACCGAAGCGTTCACGCTCAGGCGGACGCTTTGCTTGGCGGTGTATGACAGATCAGTGGCGACAGGGGGCAGGTTGGCAACTGCGGGCAATTGCGTGATAGCATCACGCAGTGAAAGCGGTTTGTGGGGTTGTCAAGCCTTAGCAGTTGAGTGAGAAGACAAGTGATTTCATGGGGCTTTGACGCAGCCGAGTCCAAGCCCCCGAGGTGGTTGAGTAGTCCATGTGGTGCTTGCTGCTCATGCCAGCAGCCACGCAAGGTATGCTTGTCAAAACGATGTCAATATTTGCCAGCACATCCAAATTTGCAAAGGCCGCCTCCGCCATGATCACAAAAACCAGCCTTGGTTTGAATTTGAGGCACTGCAGCAGCCTTGAAACAGCGCAGGCCACATACAGTGACAGCCCTACCCTGCATACACCCCATTTCACGCCCAGCCCCAAACCTAGCATGCAAAAATTTGCATGGGCTCACCAACATTGATGTTTGCCTGGCGCGTCACGGTACCATTTCTTGTGTCTACGACTGTAAACTTGAACACATCTGGGCCGCTGTACCCAGGGGTTGGGCTGTACGTAAAGGACCCGTTTGCTGAGAGGGTGAGCGCGCCGTGTGTTGGGCTTCCACCAGGCGCAAGCAGAGCGCTCAAGGGCACGTCCCCATCTGGGTCGCTGGCTGTGGACAAAACGCCTGCTGCGGAATCTACAACCAAGGCCGTGCTCTCCTTGCCGGTGTAGTTCAGGTTAGTGGCAATAGGAGGCTGGTTAGAAACTGCAGGGGCGTTTGGGGGGAGCATATTTTGGTGGCGGTGTGTGTGTGTGTGTGTGTGTGTGTGTGTGTGTGTGTGTGTGTGTGTGCACGCGCGCGCACAGCAAGACACCTTGAGGCAGCCTTTGTGACTTGCAATTCGTGAAGAATTGTATGCACACGCAAGCAGCATTATTGCCTGACAGCAGGGCTTCTGGCAAGCAAGGCGTCCACATTGCTACTGCCGCTTTGCCTACAATAATCATGGACCATCGTGGTGAACAGCAGCTGCCAGAGGAGCCACGTTTGGAAGCCAACGGCATCCCACAAAGTTGGCACATCTGCGGTGACGCGCAGCAAGCAAACCCTGCAGCTCACCAACAGTGATTGTTCCTTGTGCCGTCGAGGTTGCACCAGCGCCGTCCATCACTTGGAAGCTGAAGCTGTCGGACCCGCTGAATCCGTGGTTGGGCGTGTACCTGAAGGAACCGTCGGCCTGCGGGACGAGGGCCCCATTGGCTGGTGGGATTACGGCGGCCACTGAAAGCCTGTCGCCAGGGTCCGGGTCAGAGGAGCTTGCCAGCAGGCCCGGCGCGGGTTGATTCAGCGTGAAGTCCTGTTTCACGCTGTAGGCCACATTCCCGGCAACCGGCGCATGGTTGACGCGGACTGCGGGTGGCGCAAACGGGAGGGGTAAGCAGCAACAGATGTCAACAGCAAGGATGGCGATTTTCATTTTGACAACTGGCCAGAGAGCAACGATTGGCCAAAGAGGGGGAATCGCAGGGTGAGAGCGGCGACTGCGCTGTCGACCGGTTTGAAACAGGTAGGCTGCCCCCCGCCAGGTCTGAACACGGCATGCATACTGGTGCTGAATTTGTTGCAAGCAGCACATGATGCATGCAGAGCACCAACGTAGAAGGCGCTTACCCAGGGTGATGATGAATTGATGCACTGCGCTCAGACGGGGTCCTTCAGACGCTCGAAAAGCGATTGTATCTGGGCCAACATAGTTCACACTTGGAGTGTACTGGAAGGAGCCATCACTCGACAAAGTCAGAAAGCCGTTCGTGGGGCCTGAAACAAGGACAGCCCTGATCGGCGCGTCCCCGTCCGGATCATACGCGCCGGCCAGAACCCCCGGCGCCTGGGCGGTGACGACAGTGCCCTGGTTGACGGTCAAGGCCCCGTCGACGGCAACGGGCGCCTGATTTTCTGCGGCGCCGATGTCTGCGGCCGCGCCCACCACGCGGGCCAGCCCTCGGACATCTGCTGTGTCGCCGTTTGGGTTGGCGCCCGCGTCGATCACGGGGCTGGAGGGGAAAGGGATCCAGAATGTTGAGACCGGATGCAAGAGCGGGTTGGCATCCATATTGCCGAAGACGCCGACGACGCCAGCAGCTTGGGCGCCAGACCAGTCGTTGTTGTAGAATGGCATGGCGGCGTTTGCAAGGGAGAAGGAGGGCGTGTAGTAGACCGGGTATGCGTTGAACCCGTCGCGCCACAGGATGCAGCTGATGATGCTTGCGTTGGCGGGCGGGCCCTGCAGCAGCTGCAGGTACAGACCGGACCCCTCGCCAGGGTTTGGGTTGCCGGACAGCTCATTGTTGTAAAAGGTGGTAGAGTGGATCTGGATGGTCGCGTAGGGCGGCGTAGGCAGGGAGTTCCCGGATGCAATGTAGGCTCCGCCGCCCCGAGCCGCGGCGCTCGAAACCAGAGCGTTGCCTACAAAGCTGCTTTCGTAGATCAATACCGCTTCGCTGGTACTGCTGGAATAGTGGAGGCCGCCGCCTGTGAAGGTGGCTTGGTTGCCTATAAACACAACGCGCCTGACCACGACTGTTGGACCGTTGATCACATGCATGCCGCCACCGGCAGTCTGGGCGATATTAGCAGAGAATTGGCAGTCGGTTAGGGCGACCGCGGCGCCCGTCCCAGTCGCATACAGCCCGCCGCCGTTGGTGCCAACGTTGCTAAGGAAAGTGCAGCGTGTGCACGTGAAGGGTGTGTCCTGGACGAAGATAGCGCCGTTGGAAGCCTCGCAGCTGATGACGCGCAGGTCCTGAGTCATGGAGGGGGCATATACATAATCACATTCGGTGAATCCAAGGTGGGTGTCCCTGCGTTGCCACCTCTGGGAGGCAGGAAACGAGCTGCTCCCCTACCTGCCCGCACGCACGCACGCGCGCATACGCACGTGCACGTGCACCCACAGCCACATGTACGAACGCGCGTGTACATGTCACGCGCCACCAGCTCCGAGTGCGCAGCCGGCTCCGAGTGAGTCGCCGCCTGCACTTCCGCCTTCTGTCCAGATCTCACAACACACACGCAATTCCGCACATGCACAGGCAAACGCGCACGCACCGTGGCCACCACCCCAGTAGGGCGCAGTGGGTAGGCCGCCGAAATCGAGGGGTCAGCACGTATTGCAGCACCGTTTGCAGCCGGGCCGGGAGGGTTGCCTGTGATGAACGTGCGGAAGCCAGTCATTCTCACGCGAGTCAGCGTGAGCTTGGAGCGGTCGCCCGCGACGATCAGGGCGCTCTTGGTGACGAGGGCCTGGCCGAGGCTCCCCTGAGAGCTGAACTCGCAGTCTGTGAATCTGAGCTCCCCGTCATACACGGCAAACGTCATCTCTGCAAATTGGAAGTTGATGAATTCCACCACGACGTTGGGGTTGGTTGCGGAGGTGGCGGTCTTGCTGCCGAGCGCCGTCTCTGGGTTGCCGCCGGCGACCAGTGGCTGCACAATAAGGACAGGCGAGCCCGCGACAGCGGGCGCTTGGACAGTCAGGGAGGCGTTTCCGACCAGCGCAGGCAGCACAAGGGATCCAGAGGCCGTGAGGTCGATGGTCGAGCCGGCGAGGCTTGAAGAGAACGTGATGATTGTGGTGGCGGCCGGCTGCACCGTTGACAGTGCGTCCCGCAGGCTGCCGGGGCCAGTGTCTGTCGTTGCAGAGACATGCAATGACACATGAGGTGGCGTGTGAAGGCACGCTAATCGTGTGAATTACAATCACATCCACAATGTGATTGCAATGTGATGGCAACACACACACACACACACACACACACACACACACACACACACACACGCACGCACGCTCGCACGCATGCGCATGCACGTAAACTTGTAAGACTAACACCCCACAGACACCAGATGAAAACAGTCGTTTCTTTCCCCCACCCGCCAGCACTTCTTTCAAAGTGAAGGGCCTACATGACACAGCGCCGCCCGCGGGTTTGTGAACCTGTATGTGCTTGCGCCGCGCACCCAACCCCTCCTGCTGCCCCCCCCCGCCTCCGCACATCAATTCACAAGTAAAGCAGGCCCATCCAGCCATGCGTGGCCGCACCTTGGTCGTTTGTCACCACCAACGAGACAGGGGCCGCTCCCGTGCTCGAGACCATCGCCGCTAGCACCAGCAGCAGCACCGCCAGACTTGCATGCTGATGCATCTGCATAGCGGCCCGGCCGCCCTGGTTGCGAGGCGCGCCTGCAAGCGACGCGCCTTGCTCTGCATGCGCATGCACCTGCTTGGGCATGTGCCTGGCTTCGCGCAGAGTTTGATAATGCCTGCGCATGGCATACATTCATGTGATGGTGCGGCCGAGCAGTCTGCTGCTGACAAGGTGGTCCAAAGGAGAATTCTCGTTGTCAGGAGCAGGCTGCTCAAACAGCTGGCACGTGGTAAAGATATTGCAGGTTAGGTGACAGATTCTACAGGCGGGCTGCCTGGAGACGTCGAGGCCTAGGTGGCGTGGCCACGTTGCCCGGTCCGGTCCCCTCTCTCACCGGGTGACCCTGCCCGTGAGTGTTCGACCTCTCTTCTGGCACCTTGTAAATACCTCGCGACCACTCGGTGTCCGTTCGCCTGGGGCCCGGCCACCTGGCCCAGCTCGAGCTGCGGGAAGCAGCCCGCTGTGAGCTTGTATGTTGGGTACGCGGGAGTTGCAAGTTGACATAAGACGGATATTATCTACACGCTGCTGGCTTGGAAACGGCGAGTGCGGCGCTGTTGGTGTGAGTTTGCAGGCGCAGCAGGGTAAAGTGCATTGCCGGGTGACACCCCTCTTTTGGCTCCGATTATATCAAACTGGCCCGCAGTCTGGCCACTAACTTGCACTGGCATCACCAGGGCTTGCGTAACACTGTCACTGTCATGCTAGGTGTGCCAGCAGGGCGCCTGTTTCTGCACGCCATGCTCACGATTTCTCGCCCAGCCACTGCGCACGGTGTAAATCAGTCAACCCGCCACGGGTCTGCAATCCTCCTGCCATCACACGTATAGGCTGTATCCATTTCACTCACGATCGCTAAGCCACACCAATTCCGGTGGCTACGAGTTTCACAGCCAAAACCTGACGGAATGCGGCGGCAAACGCTGGGAGCTCACACACACTGCTAGACCGCGCCAGCCTCGACACCTGTTGTTTGGCGCAAACCTGGCATCACCAGTTGATCCATCAAGAGCGGCATAAGCCCTGGAAACGTACCAGTCACGAGCCAAAAAAAATCCTAGCCGCCAGCAATCCCGCACACTGGCCAGCAGAGCGCATGTAGGGCAGTGCGAGTTTGGGCACTTTGGGCAGCCAAAGTGCCACATGCGGACGATGCATGCGGCCCAGCCGCTGATAGGTGCGGTTGCCGCATATTCATACGATTAAAACGTTTTTATTGTATGAAATCTGCGGCAACTGCAGGTAGGGGTGACCCCGGCTGCTGCTCCTCCAGTTCCGTGCAACAGTAGGACGACGGCAGGTGGGGGGGGGGGCAGCCGTGGCCGCCACATTCAAGCCTCAGACGCGTCCTCTTCGGCGGCATGCAACAGCGCCAGTGAAGCGGGGGCGGAGCCTTTGGCCTGATTAGTGGCCCGGCTGGCCGAGCCCCACACGGTCGCAAATGATAAGAAGAGCGTGCCTGGCAACAGGCACCCAGCAGGGGTGGCGCAACCGCACGCAGCCCCTTGGTTCCGACATGGTGGAATTGCGCAACAGCAGTCGGCAGGCGTTGGCAGCATCACGTGCATGTGCCACTGCACGGTTACCCGGGTGGGGCGGCACACTCGCAGCCCCCTACTCCCATGTGGAGTTCATTACGCGACGTTCAGCGATTCACAATGACAGCACGTTACCAGTGTTACCTTGAATCACGTCAACAGATGGGGCACAACAAGGGGAGGTTTCAAAACAACCCAAACAAGGACGGCTGTTGTCGGTGCAGACACAGAGGCCCGGCCTAGCCCATGGTCAGAGACCCATCAAGCCTCAGCAGCCGCCGGGCCCCACAGCAGCTTCCTGTTCTGCCAAGAGGCCGGCGGTGCAGGTCTGTACTGCAGTGCAGGCCTGTACCGCCACCCTAGGGTGGCCACGGGGCGGCTTTCTGCCGGTGGAAGCCCGGGTGCCGCCCCCGTGCTGCTGGCCCCACGGACGCGGCAGCCGTGCCGCGCGAATTGCAGCAGCCCAAGCCTCAAGTCACGGAGGAGGTAGCGTTTGCGCGGCCAGCCGGCTGCGCGGGTGCGGGCGCCGCAAGCTGTGCTCCAGGGGGCCGCCCGTGCAGTATGCAAAGGGCGGCAGTCAACCAGATGGGAAACGGTGCGCGTATAGCGTTGCGCGCTGCAACCCAACGAGCCAGACCAGGTTCGAGGCGGTCAAAAACGACACAAAAAAGGTCGCCCGACTTATCATACCTCCCCCTTGCTGTCCGAGGCGCCCTCCGCCTTTCCCTTTGCCTCTGATGGCCGCCTGTGTGCGCCTCCCTTGCTGCCCTTGGCGCCGCTGCCGCCGCCGCCGCCGCCGCCGCCGCCGTGGTGGCCGCCACCTTCCTTGTCTTTCGCCGCGAATCCTTGGTAGTACAGGGCCGTCACGACGATCAGGGTGCCGGCCCTGGGAGGGGTGAGGGCGGTGACGTCACGTGACGTCAGCATTATAGCGCTTTGAGCAGTGGGCGAGGCCGCGCATGAACAGGCCTTGAGCCTCCCATAAGACAGCCTGTCAGGGCACGTAAGAAGGCTCCAAAGGCGAAAGTGAGGAACGCTCCAAAACTGTGCATGTAGGTCACGGGCCAAACGTCCGCACGGCAGCGTGCCCATAACGCTGTGCAGCCGCCAGCCTCCCACAAGAACGCCCCTGCAACACAGGCGGCTGTGCGCTCGGCCGTGACTCATGCATGCAGCACGCTGAGGCTGAGGCGGCGGCGGCGCTCAGCCGGAGCCAAGCTCGCGTTGCTAATGATCACGCGGCGGCAAAGATGAGGCAGCGACGGTGGCGGCGGCGGCGGCGGCGAGGCCGGGCGGGGAGCTCGGGGCTCACCACTGGCCGCGCGTGAGTGGGCTGCCGAAAAAGGCTGAGCTGAGGAGGATGGACAGGAACTGGCGGGTTGTCATGATGGTGGCAAAGGTGAGGGCGCCGAAGGACTTGATCGTGTATGAGATGCAAAGGGAGCCTGGTGGGGGTTTGGGGCGATGGGGTTTTGGACCATGAATATGTGTGTGTGTGTGTGTGTGTGTGTGTGTGTGTGTGTGTGTGTGTGCGGGCGCGCGTGTGTGTGTGTGTGTGTGTAAGGATCTCTTCAACAGCTGGACATGGGGTGACAGCTGACGTGAGGCTGGCGACCCGTTTGACAGTTTGGGATGGGATGCATGCGGCGCTCAGCACGACCCAGCGCCTCGCAGCCCTGTCCAATCCCGTTCTCCCAGCCCTCGTGGTCGTCACTGATACTCCACTTCGCTCAAACCCAAAACTCCTCGGCGCATTCACGGGACGAGACGGACCCGGCCCCACCCCTCGTCCTTCCATACCCCGGATGCCTCATCCGAGCCCCTCGACCATCTGCATGCCAACCTAGTTATTTCCATCGCACACTGCCAGCCCCACAGCCGCCACCCCCACAACCGTCACGTTCGCCCCCCCCCCAGCTGCCAACCCGCCAGCTGCCACCCCCACAGCCGTCCCCTCCCCCCCAAGCAGCCGCCCCTCACCGCAGCTAGCTGCGCAGGATAGCAGGAAGATGGACCCAAGTGCCTCCGGGTGGTTGTACAGGAACCGGAAGGTGGCGGGCAGCTGCCCGCTGCTGGCCAGGCCTGGAGGCAACACAGTGCAAGGTGGGCGGGCATGGTTCGATCGGTCTCTGGGCGCCGCATGAGCGGGAAGGCGGGGGCTGTGGGATTTCGATGCGGGGATTTCGGGACTCAAGGGCCAGCCGCCTGACGGTTTGATGCTTTGAGGCCGTCAGGCCGGGTCATGCGGAGTTGACGGTGACAAGCGCACGGCTACGCTTTTTTGTTGTGTTTGGCTGGGCCCATCAGGTGGCCTTGTGTGGCTGAACCCAAGCCGCCCACCAAATGAGCTGAGTGCAATGGAGCAGAGGGAGGTGTAGAGCACCTGCGTGGAAGGGGGACGTGCGGCGGGGCACGCAGGGGCGTGCAGGCCAGTCCAGGCTTCTTGTGTGAAGTAGGCCGAAGTCTGCCCCTCGCTGAGGCTCCCGCCAGCCCCCAGGAGCAGGCGGGATCCAGGGTGTTGCAGCCAGGCATCCCTTCAGCACAGCCACCGCACTGGGCTGGCTCAAGCATGGGGGCGCGCCAACAACTCCCCTCCCCCGCCCTTGGGCACGTCTCAACATCACACCCCTCCGTTGCCAACACGCGCGCACCACAACCTGGAAACGCACAATACCCTCAAAACCAAACAATCAACCCACCTGGTTGTACGTGCTCATGGAGTAGCCGCGGAACATGGACTGCTGTACCGTCGACGTGTAGCCGTCAGCCACCAGGTAGCCGCCCATCAGCAGCAGGCCGTACAGAGAGCTGGCCGCCCCCTTGGCCACCCTGGGGGTTTGCACGGGGTGATGTCACGGGGTGATGTACGCATAAGCGTGTGCGCAGGGAGGGGTGTTGAAGATGCTGGCAGTGTCAAAGTCTGAACGTGTGTGTGTGTGTGTATGTGTGTGTGTGTGTGTGTGTGTATTGGGGCGGCTCACCGAGGGCTTTGCAAGGTACGGAGGAGCGCGCGCCTGCACGTGCGCGGCCCCGGCCTTCACCCCCAAGACCCCGCTTCCCCGCCATTGCCAGCTCTTTGGCGCGGGGCTCATAGACAGCGGGGGCCAAGCAGCGCTTGCCCCGCAAACAACCCCGTGACCAAAAAATTCGCAACAAAGCCAATGATGGAGGGCCCTCGAGCTCAAAACCCTAAAACCTCGACTACCCCAGACATGTTTGGGCGCAATTCAGATCAGGCAGTCAAACAGTCAGTCAGTCAGTGAGTCGCTCGGTCAGTCCGTCAGTAAGTCGGTCAGTCGGTTGGCCCGGGCGCGCATACCTGCTGGCAGTAGGGCCCAGCGTGAAGAAGACGAAGCAGCCGCCGGTGATGGCCACAGCCAGACCAATGTCGCGCCAGCCGTAGCGCTTCCGCAGCATGATGAAGCCCCACAGCATCACCGGGAACATCTGGCATAAAACAAAGTCAGGGTGGGTGGGGTTTCGGGCGGGTGTCGGGGCAGAGAAGAGGGTCGGGGCGGGTCGGGGGCCTGCAGCCTGAAGAAGCCTGGCGGCGAGATGAGGTACCATTGTCCGGGTGTCTAGCCCACTGCTGGCGCCGCCGGCGGCCCCCAACGGGTTGAGGGCGTCATCAAAACACCCCCAGTGACCCTAGTGACGGCAGGCCGTGGTCTGGTCTCTGTGGGGCTGCCCCCCAACCCCCCGCTGCGCCCCACCTTGGCGCACTTGCCCAGGGTCTGCACCGCAAAGCTAACGTACTTGAGGGCCTCGTATCTGGGGGAGGTTTCGGGAGGTGTTTTCGGGCGGCGGGTACGTGAGTTTATGTGATACGCGTTGAGGGGCTTTGTCGGGATACTCGTTTTGATAGTGTGGGGTGTGGAGGTGGGGCGAGAGCGGGCGCGTGGATCGCAGATCCAGCCGCAGCCCGGGCAGCGGAGAGGGACCGGACTCGGCGGCCTTTACGGTCTGCGCTGTCCTTGCGCGTCGCGCCGGCTGCGCGCGCCGCCGCCCGCCGTGCCAAATGGCCATTGGACTGCCGCAGGGACAGCCCCGGACCCTGCTGCCTGGCAGCCTCGGTCAACTCCAGGTCAAACGCGGGGCCGTGACGCGCTGCAGAGCATGTCGATGCATTCCAATCCACCAAGCCAGCCAGGCGCGACCAGGGACTCACTGGCAGGTGGTGGC